ATCAAAATCAGGCAAAATTTGATCAATTTGATCAAATTTGATCAAATCTGATCAAATTTGTCGGTTTCAGAATCAATACCCAAATCAATAGCGAAATCAATACAGAAATCAATATTTTTAGAAAACGAAAAATATTGATTTATTTCGAGAATATTGATTAGAATCAATAGTCGATGCCCAGGGAGACTTGAATTGGTGGTTGAGCGGGAGCAGAAGGTTGGCTCATGTTGCGCTCTTGGTTCTTGTCCACAAACGCTTGCATGCTGGATTCAACCGTGTTCTTCATCTGTTGCATCATCTCTTCTGCATTGAAGGATACACTGGGTCCCGGTGGTGTGGATTGAGGTGCCACCGGTGTTGGTGGATCAGGCACTGTCGTTGTGGACTGAGCTGGATGTGGATTGAACGTGGATTGATGGAATGGAAGAAGTTGTTGGAGGTGCTGGATATGAGATTGAGCCTGTGACGCAAGTTGTTGATTCAGGATGGTATTTTGCTCTCTGAGAGCCGCCAGTTGTGCCTGAGTCTGAGCTTGAGACTGAGCCTGTGACTGTTGGTTCATAATATCACCGCCACAAAATTGACTTTGAAGTCCCATCGTTTGCGGGTTCCAGAAGGTCCACATGTTGTCGGGAACGGCAGGATACCGGTCAGGTTTGTAAATTGCAAAATTAGTTCAAAAAGAAAAGATGCATCCACATGAACGTGCAGAGATCCCCTCATTAGGCTCAACGGCCTGCGTTCACGTCAACCCTATCGACGGCTATCAGTGTTCAAATGAATTACGTGCACAATTGAACCTCACCAAACAACCAACAAAGAGAGTGACCACACCTGTAAAGCATGTCCTCTTGCCTGGAGTTTCATGTGAAAAGGGCTCCGGTCAGTCTCTTGAGATAACAGAAAGAGTGTTGACGCGGCTGCAGTCTACCATCCCTTGAAGTTCAAGTAAAATGTGATTCCCAGGCACAGCGGGCAACGTTTCAACACAACGACATCGACAAGTGAGACCAGGAAAAAGGCCAGCAGTTCACTCTACTTAGACGAATTACTAATTCAAAAGTGTAAATTCAGACATCGTTTTAACGTCAATTTTTAGCCTAGAAAGGCTTTCCCCGAAGGGCTCATACCACCTTGTCGGACAACGGTATGAGTGACACACTTGCTCAGAGACATCTTATCGAATTACTGATGTGGAATGCATCGTACGTGCAAAAACACTTCAGTTAAACCTGACAGGACATAGTAAATGACCAGGCGTGAGAAACAGTGGAGAAGAATTCTTTCTACGTCCTTGCTAGATGCAACTGTTCCATCTGACGAAGTCAGCAGTAAATCAGATTGCGAAAACCGTACAGGCAAATTCAAATTTGGTTTGAAAGCTGGCTTGACATTCGACATGCCGGTTCTTGGCTTGGCCGGTCGCCATTTCGGAAGAGTGAAATCAAAACTGTTGAAACTTGGATGCAGGTACGTCCAGGTGATCAGCCTGGATATCCTAAGGACACCATAGAGAGCTTCGTTGGGCACAGCTCTATGGGCCTTCTGTGCCCCCTGCATGAAAATTGAAAAAAGTAAATTGATGAAGAGTCAAATCAAAGAAGTAGCGCAGCTAAAAACGGATAAAACTTAGAAGTTTTACATCTATTCAGATGGTCCACACACACACAGGTTCTTCGGATTGTGGTCTCGTGATTTGATGCCTTGAAGGCCTTTGTACGGGTGAGACCGGCCTGGGTTATTGGCTACGTCCGCGCTGGTGCGGGCTCCAAGCAGCGTTGAAGTCGCCACTTGAAGTCGCTGGAATGCCAAGTGTTCGCCACTTCTTTGATGTTTTCTGTGTACTCTGTGCGGCCTCGTTTCGTTGGGAGGGTTCCGAGGGGAATGGTCCCCTTGGAGCCTTGGACGGTGCAAAGTGAAGAAGTCAACGCTTCAACTGGCCCTGCCAGCCCTGACGTTTTGATCGGTCTGGAAGTTTGTTTTCATCAACTTTCCACTGCCAAGAAGCGATCGCTGAGGTATAGAGACACCAACTTCACACGAGTAGTGCCCGGCTTTATGTGCCAGTACCCAAGGAATCAGACATAGAAGCAAAAACCATGGTCCCCCAAATTTCCTGCCTTTCTGCACCGCTGAAGGTCAAGGAGGAGATTTTAATTTTGGCAGTGCTTTGATGGGCGAGCTACAGTCTCAAATCATAGGACATTTGACATATTTGTAGCATGATGGATAGCGTAATCTCAACAGGTGCATGTTGTTGCAATCCTTTTCATCAATGACTCACTTGGTGCCGTGTTTTGTTTGTGGTATACAGTTCACAAGTAGCGGTTTCCAAGCCGACAGTTCATTGTAAGTTTGCCATGACCAAGATCCATCTACGGGCAGAAATTCAGAGACGAACGCTTTTGCTACAAGTCAGCAGCCCAAGTTCACTGCACAATTTTCACGTTTTGTCAAGGTTTGCCATGCCTTGAGGCATTCAAAACGAGGCGTTCTCTCCATGGCAAATGTGGGAAGGAACCCGAGCGTTCAGATGTGCTGGGAGTTGCTGGGAGTTTCTCAAGTTTCTGCACTGTGGCATGGCCAGGAGACATACAAACAACTCTCAGTTTTTCATTACATTTGCTGGACACTCAGTCCAAATTTCATGTCCTTGTTGGATGCCAAGCGACTGTGGCACAGGCAGGTCTTTCCTACCTGCAGCACCTGCTGCGTGATGATTATTGCATAAGTTGATAATGATCAATCATCCTGATCAAGCACAGGTAATTTCCACAGATGATATGTTATTTGCGGAGACGTTCGTGTGCGCACGGGTTTTTACGCACATGGCCCACTTCGCACGCCTTGGGTTTCTCAAGTAGATCAGCGCTATAGGACGGTATAAGACATCCAAAAATGCAGAAATAGGTTGTGAAAAGCATATATTTTGAGCAGGCTTTGGTACGGTTAACGCATGATCAAAAATGATAAAAAATATTGAAATTAGATGAAATTAGGTTGCGTTTTGGTTGTTTTGTGGTGGTATCCATATAAAGGACCAAATGCATAAAACAAATTCAAAACATAAACCAACCATGCCAAAGCAATGCAAATAACATCGCATTGTGTGTTTGACATGAACTGCAAGCATCCCATGCACATCAATACGCGTGCAAAATAAGCGCAACATGCGCCATGCACTTGGTGTGCAGGATAACCATATACCAAAACCGCATTCAGAGACAGCATAAACGAATCCAAGGTTTGTGCACCTCAAAAAATCAAATACTGTACATGATCAATTACCTTGGGCATACCTCGAGGACACCCCCCTACATGCCCTTACATACATCGATATAACCCAAATGAAGCACGTGGACTTCAATTACAACAAGTCCAGATGTGTATAGACATGATCATGTTCTTGAGGATTGTTTAGGTGAATCCACCGAAGCTATCCATATTATCCATATGATAATAATTGATAAACAATCTGAACTCAAGGTCAGGCCCGTACAAGGATGTAGGGCATCATGCACAGTTGGTTGCTTCTTTTCCACCAGCTAATTGAATCCGAGTACTGCAGGATATGACATTTCGACATTTCGTATGTCCCTTGGGTCTTGTGCTATGTCAAAACACGCACTTTGTGACCCAAAAACCTGATATTTTGGACAAAGGCAACCCTATTTTTTTACGTAAAATTTGCATACTTTTGGCGTAATGGTGCACGCAAAGTGAACGTAAAGTGAACGTAAAGTGAACGCCTTGGAACGGGTACGGGTATTATCGCGTACATTACGGGTAGGTACGGGTACGGCAATTAACGTACCAGCACGGTATTTAACATATCTATTACGGGTATTTACGTACATGTACGGGCTCATTTTTTTGTTTTTTTTTTGAACGCGCTTAAAACGTGAGAAATAGGCGTCAAAGGGCTATCAAGCAAAGAAAAAAAACATCTGTAGTCGCGACCGGTTGTTTTGACGGCTGAGCTGAGCAAACACATGCTGCCATTCGACAGCTGTGCAGCGGATGACGCAGACAGGATGCTCAACAAGGTAAAGTCGCGCTTGTCGGATATGTGTATATGTGTACATGTGTCGCTGAATGTTTTTTTTTTTTTAATATATACAAATATATATATATATATATATAATTATATATATACATATTATTATATATAAATATATATCCATATAAACATAAAACACAAAATGATGTCTCATGCACCCATGTAGTTGCATGCTCGTGGGCCATCCTCGTCAGAAAAAAGGTGGCCGGCACCGTGATTCTTCAACCCGCGGTTGATTCGCATGGTGATCCCCATGCATCATTATGGACACATCCATATATGCATGTATATTTACGTACATCTGAAGAGGTGGCGCTCATGTGCCTCCAACAATTTATATTTCAATATACAGTGCATGAAGTATATATAACACAGTGAATCCTTCATATCATACATCCAAAAATAAAAACCCATGTATATGCCGGTATGCCATATGCAAATCTACATGCATAAATAAAGATATGCATGTCCATTATATATTATATATATGGTTCTATTTTATACATGGTGATTAGATATATATGATGGTGATTATGTGCATATATATGGTGATTATGTATACAAAAACTAATGCACTATATATATATATACATACAATGCACCATATATATATAATGCACATGGAACCGGATCCGGCCAGGCATGAAACAGTCCAAACGGGAATTAACGACCCGCATAATATTTTTTGAACTAGATTCCCAATGATCAATCATTTTCATTTGGAGCAATGTTTGGCAACCAAGCAGGGTTGCAGGTAGCATTGTTTAGGCATGACCACTGGTTTCTGTGGACATGCATTTCAAATGTCTTTGTGCGAGCAGCCTTTGGCTTTGACACCACGAGATTGCTGCTGAGACACTGACTTGAATCAGTTGCACAAGTCTACGAAAGGAACGCAGATCTCTATCAGATGTTCGCTTCACTCACTATTCTGCGTACTCACTATTCTGCGTATATGACCGTATGCTACGCATCTATATAATATTAATTAATATTATATAATCTAGTCATATCATACAGTATCTAGTCTAGATTCTAAATTCTGTTTTTTGGTGGGAGAGCACACTCTTCGCAACATATATCCATATGAAAGAACCTTGAACTTCTCGATGGCGGAAGCATCTGCTGGATTCTTCGAAGGTACAGAGAAGCTTCCAGCTTAGTTGTGAGTGGGATTTGGGGGCATCATCTCTCTGCGTGTGAAAAGAATTAAAAGTGTTGGCATCAAAGCACATCAAAGATCAACACTCTTGGCTTCCCGGAGATTTTACGGACCTAGGAGAATCGAAATTGATTTTCGTGGGGATGGAAGCCTACGGAATGCACCGCGGAGTGACTGGGACACTGTCGTGACTCTCTCTGCGACTCAGATACTTGGAGGGAGTTTGAGATGTGAAACCAAATGAGAGAGCGCCGGTGGCTGGATTGGGGCTTCTATTTTGCTTGACCATGTTTGAGCATGGCTGGGATGGTACCTCCTTACAGCGTCAGTTTGCTTTCCATTGGGTATGCGAGTCCCTTGCAAATTGGCATGGCGTCCTTTGCACCTCGTGTAGATAAGTTTTTGTCTGGTTGAGTTTCCGCCACAGACACAAATAAAGTCCTGCATACAAATCTATCATTTCTGGATATTTGTGTTTGGTTCAGTCTCAAGTTTCGAGATCGATTGATAAATCATACTCGGTAAAGATAGTACTACAGTACCCTAAGAACATGATAGAACATGTCATCAAGAAGAAGCAGGTGGTTTCTCTTCTGTTTGTCAGTCCTGTCAATTGCAATAGCCATTGAGTGCAGTGCCAAGATGCCGAGGATATTGAATTGTAAGGAAACCGACCAGTTCACGAGCTTCCTACTCTCGGAAAGCAGCCTGTTGGTTCCAGAGCTGCTTTTGTTTTTTTGTGGTTCTTAGCACTTGAGTCTTGAGGTGGACAGAATTCCCAAGGGATTACTCCATCATATCTCCATCATTTTGAGCTACAAATTATTCATTTCATTTCATCTCATTGCATTCATTTGTGTTGTTTTGGCAAGAGTTGCAAGAATCATTGCTCTGAGAATGCACTGAAAGCTTAGTTCAAGCTCCTCTCCTGGGTTCCAGCTCTGAGGTTTATTCTCAGAAGGTCCCTCGGCCCAATCTAGTTGGAGGTTGCCAGATTGATCACTCAGCTTGTGGTGAGGCCATTATCAAGACTTGTGGCAGCACTGTCCCGTTAAAAGCGGTCCCGAAGCTTCTGGACATCGGCAAAGAACAAGGCAAAATTGCAGGTGTCACGTTCCATCCCATGCCACTGCATACCCTCTCAAAACAGCAATGGACAATCACAAACAGCAAGTGACAATCTGCCATTTTGAATATTTATAGGTCACTGTGAGGGCATATTTTCGCGTTCTCCATGTCATGTTCCACCTTTGTGACGTCCACAGGCCTCGAATGCGAGTGGATGTGCTACTCGCGCAAGAACTTCTTAGCTCCTGAGGTGGTTGGGACTTGAGCGTGCAATTGGGCTTCATGGGTATAACTATAGTGATAAAAGGCGCAACACTTGGATAGAATTCCTTGCTGATAGGCTGATAGCCACTATGATCTAATATATCCCCTGTTAACTGTTAATGTACCTTTATAGAATGAGTTTGTGGTCGTTTATGGAATGCAGTTTTGAGTATCATTCTAGAAACCAAGGTTTTGTAAAAAAAAAAAACATTGGACCAGCTCGAACAACCAAGTTCTTGAACCTACTCTCTTCATTCTATAAACAAGTGTTTTTGAAACCTGTGGTCACATTCTATAAAATACAACATGCTCGAAAGATGTTAAGTTGAATGGAAATTAAACATCCTGGTTGATTCATTCCATAAATCTGATTGAGTGTCAGGTTGGATTCGGGTAACAGACTTGCTTGGACAAAACCGGCACTCGAAATAGTATTTTTATAAACTATAAACTGAGACGTGCTGGCTTTCTTTCTGGCTTCCTGCTGCCTTTTGACAGACAACAGGGGATTTTCTTAGAATCACTTAGAACCACTTGCAGTATACAAACGCAGGTGTTTGTAGGATCACTCAGAGCCATCTACTAAATCAATCGCTAAATCTTTGTCCGACCCCTGTCCTATACCACAGGTTCACCAAGCCTTTATCATATGAAGTTTGGTGTGCCCAATGGTGAATTTATCGAAGAAACTTGGGTAATGAATTTCATAAACAAAACCTGGTGCAGCCTGGTGCCATCTCCTGTAGTTTCGGTTTGGGGCTGCTCAACACTTGCTTCGTCCTTTGCTCCTGGTGTGAAGGGATGCCACTGCTCATGCGATGACAGGTTCTAACTTGATCTGCCTTTCAAAAGCCACAAAATCGATCCAAATGACGCCCATGTGTTCCTACTGACCTACTGCTTCCAAAAGGTTGAAACCCTTGAGCAAGGGTCACCTTCAAGCAATAACCCCATATAACTCCATATTCTTGGGATATCATCACCCAAATCCAGGCATTCGATAAATGGCTAAGTGCTCGATTTTGTTACTTGTTGATACTAGGCTGATACGTACCCATGCATTGAGTTTG